GATGGATGGATGTTAAAACCTGTAACAGGTAATGTAAAAATGCTGCTCCACTGACAATATTAACGATGATCATGCAAACAATAATAATAACAAAATATACTTTAAATATCAACCGTGCCACAGAAATTAGTAAGACCAGTGAAGGGAATACAAACATTTTTCATTTCAGCTTAAAAAAAAAAAAAGAAAACACAGCTCTTAATACAAAAAGTAAAACCTCAGGTATCTACTAGAACGTTCAGTTGATCCAACACGACCCAGGTGGAGCTATTAAGGAAAGTGAACAGACTGAGGAGTCCAGAGCTGCCACCAGTTACTCTCCTCAGCGTGTTTACTCACATACAGCATAGAGACTTCACTTCAGGGGTGTCTGTCATCTCCACCACATGGCAGCCTGCTTTACTGGAAACATGTAAAGTTACTAAGACAAGCATCACAAAATAAACCAAACACCCACCAAACCGCAAGAAACTAAATCCTGGCTAAACAGCAGCAGGTGAACCTACTGCTGCCAGGATCATAGTGTTTTCATACAAAGATGTTGTTTTCATATCCTAACTCGTCTCACCACCTCTGGGCTTCAACACAGAGTCACTTGAAAAGGTGGTCAGGCTCAGCCGGCACATCAGATCAAAACTACCTTAAAAGGCATTTTCTACAAAGGCACCATATAAAAGGCTAATTTATAATTGATACCTTTAACTGCAGCCACAAGAGCAGCAGCAGCAGCAGACAGACAGACAGGCCGGCCGGCCACAGGAGAAGAGTGAACACAGGCCCACAGGTGTCTTATCTAATGTGGCCCTGGTTAGGAAAGAGACAACAGGGAGGAGTCACATTTAAAACTGTGATCACTAATGTTGAGCACGGTGAGAGATTCACCTGCACTAGAGGAGGACACAACACATGGGATGTTTTAGTGTAGTTAACCTGTCAGCAACGTTTCAGTGCTAACATCTGCAAACCTTTGCTTCTGGCTATAAAAATGAACAACTCATTAAATAAAGAAAAGAGAAATCACTGCAATGTGTGAGCAAGGCCAGAAAAATGAAAAGTGGTGGAAGCAGAAGTAAAAAGTACTGCTGCACTTAAAGTCTGGCGCAGATAATCTTAGTAAAGTAGGTATTATTAAGAATACATACGTTACGCACCGTTGCTAGGTTGCCGATTTGCGACACCCGGGATCTTTCTGCATGGAGTCTCCATGTTCTCCCCGTGCAGCGTGGGTTCTCTCCGGGTTCTCCGGCTTCCTCCCACAGTCCAAAAACATGTTGAGGTTAATTGGTGATTCTAAATTGTCCGTAGGTGTGAATGTGAGTGTGCTTGGTTGTCTGTCTCTAAGTGTAGCCCTGTGATAGACTGGTGACCTGTCCAGGTGAACCTGCCTTCACCCTGAGTCAGCTGGGATAGACTCCAGCCCCCCATGACCCAAAGTGGTGTATAGATAATGGATGGATGGATGAATAGGACGACTGATTTTAGTGTTATAGTGTGCACAACAACATTCACTGTGCAAAGTGCGACCATGCAAAGAAAAGTTATGACTACTAATTACTTGTTGATCCAAAATCCAGCCATCCATTATCTATACACCACTTAATCCTCTCTACGGTCGTGGGGGGCTGGAGTCTATCCCAGCTTCTAGCTGTGTACTAATTACTTGTTGATCCAAAATATTAAAGCAAAATATGACAGCCACTATCACAACTTCTAGTCCTCATCCTGGTAACCACAGATGGAAACAGCACTGTGTAAAACTACAAACAACAAAGTAGGTATTAACAAAATATACTTCAAATATTCCTAATTTGCCTAATTCTAATGTTTCTTTATAAAGTGTGGAGGTCTTCTTACTGACCCACTGGAGCAGGATCCTGCAGAAGTGATGCTGTTAGTTTGTGACACCTACTGGCGACACGCCCATGAAATCTGGTGTAAATATTCACCGCTTTCAGGGCTGTAAATGTTCTCCTTTTGGAAAACCTGCACCAGTACACGCCACACATCAGAGACTCACAAAGTGTGCAGTAAAACCACAGGTGGAACCAATAACCCTGCTGGTGGCTCCATTTAACAGATCCGGTAAGCTCAAATAAAAATAAAGAAAGCTTCTGTTAAATTGCTGCTGTATCATCTTTAGTTAACCGTGTAAAGCAACAGAGCTAAACATGTTCTTAGCGTCATATTTAAGAAAAAAACTCAAAATCAAAACTTTGTACTAAAAGTTTTATTAGTCGAAGGCCGTTCATCTGTACAATGACCAAAACAAAACAAAAACAAAAACAGATGGTTAAATTATTTTCACTGTTACAAACTTGAGTAGACTTTAAAAAAAGTAAAGTTGCAGCCAGTTTCTGCAGCCGGGTGTGGATTACGGCGGCATCGGCGCTCTCATGGGAACCCGAGGAGGAGCGCCCGGGGGCCTCGGCGGCATCGGAGGTCCTCTCTGGAAACCAAAGGGAGGCGGACGAGGAGGACCAGCGCCGTAGCCGGGCGGAGGCATCGGAGGAGGAGGACCTCTCATACCTGGAGGCACGGGGGGGCCTGAGAGGAGAACAGAGGGAACACGATCCCGTAAAACATCCAGTTCTGATCAAGTATTTGGAGCAAGAATCATGTGCAACAGCTCAGAGTTCTGGCTAATAAAGCCTGTGTCTTAGATATTTTACAGATTCCAGTATTGTGCTCTTTAATTTCAAAAAACCAGACTAACCTCTTCTCTCTTACCACTTCAGTGTTGTGTTGCATCCGTCATTCACTTTCTATTCTCACACATGTTCTGAGCTGTGATCAAATTTGTCATCTGTTTACAATAAATCCAATCATTTCATACCAAAGCCTTCAACCAATACCAGATGCAGACTGAGGTGAAACTCAAGTGTGTGAGGGCTAGATGTCATGAAGGCATGTCAGATTGTGCAACCATCGTCTGGTAAGTTGTTGTGCTAATAAGTCATCAGCTCGCATCCTGAATCAGCTTTGGTCTGAGTGATGCTGCTTCTCTGAATCCAGAAAAGTCGAGGAGAAGATTGTGAATGCAGCCGTCAGGGATAAAGTGGCAGCAGGAAATCCTCGGTTTGAGATAAAAACGCTTTCTCGCAGAGACATTGTGTTCGCTGTCCATCATTTCATATTGTTGTGTGATTTACTGGCAGGTCGTAGCAACGCTCACATTGTGGGATTACAGTCCTCAGGTTCACTTCCAGAAATTCAAAACCAAAGCTGCTGCTGAAAATCAGCTGTCAGTGCATCTCTGACTGACAGACGATGCTCTAATGATTGTTGACTTTTGTCTGCAGCAGCCTAAAACCGCACGACACAAAGGGGCACTAAGGAGGGCAGTGGGACAGAATAAAGCTCCTGTCCATATCACCTGTTATGTAAATGGATCTCTGGACGTTAGAGGTTATTGATTTGTGTCACAGTCCTGGTTGGAAGGTGTTGACTGATGGTGTCTCCTTGAGGTCGTATTTTTGACCCAGAACTGTCCTTTGGTTTTTCATTTCTTGTGCAGACCAAGGAAAGGTCATCCCTTCCTTTATCTCCTCCAGACGTGACGACTGCAGTGCGCTCTGCTTTGCTACCAGCAGGAAAAACATTCACAGACCGTCGTTGACATAAAACGCTGCAGCCAGGCTTCTAACACTTAGTGGGGGGAGCAATCCCTTTATACCGAGGCTTAGTCCCCTTCACTGACCAGCGAGTTTTAGAATCGATTTTAAGACTTTCTTGCTTGTTTATAAAGCTTTGAACGGTCTGGCTCCTGTCTGTATCTCCTATCTTCTAACTCCATGTAAGCCGGATTACTCCTTGAGATCAATGGCAGAGCCTCATCAATGCTTCCTAACTCTTGTCACTAAAGGTGACCAGGTTGTTGTGTGGAGATCTCAGCCAGACAAACTCAGAATACGATTCTAAATCTATTCTGACAACTCACTTTAACATATGACTTTTTCTTAACTGGTGGTTTATGTTGTAATTAGTGATGCACGATATTAAAATTTCTGGCCAATACCAATATTAATGTTGCTGATATCGCCAATAACCGATATTACTGATGTCGATATTTAAGTTTTGTTCACACCAACAAATGAATACAAGTAAGCACTGTGAGAACGTGAAAACTATTCAACAGAAGCCCAAATTAGACCACATAGTCTTCTTTAGTATGTAACAAAAGTAAAACATCTTTAAACATATTTAAGTCCAGGACCTTTTGAGTAAAAACATCTGTGAAGTAGCAGCGATATTAAACATAGAGACGAAGGCGCTAACGTTAGACAATCATCGGTTTTAAACATCAGCTAAATTTCTTCATCAGACCGATACCGAAATATGGGAAAAAACACTAATATCTGCCGATACCGATGTGGTCGCCGATATATCGTGCATCCCTAGTTGTAATTACCAAAAATAAGTTAACGTTGGTGTAATATCAGCCTATGAGAGTCACACTGTGATGCTAAACACTGAATCACTCTGGAAGTCTTATGCGATGCTACATATACCTTCACGCTACGCTTCAGGGCTCCACTCGCTCTCCACACACTCTGCAAAACCGAAATCTTACAGCTCAAATGTTTCTTCTTTTACACATTTTTAGCGCTGCTATATTACAAGATCAGGTTTATCAACAGCAGGATTGTGTCAGTACTCCAACACACTCCATCTATTTTTGCTGCCGAGAAAAGGTGTCATTGAGAGAAGCCTTGACTTATTCATTTACAGAGATGCTGCTTTGAGAGGTTTTTCTCAATTGAAAATGACAGATATCATTTGCTAAATGATTTCAGATATGCTATCAGGTTTCAAATGTTTCAGTGAGGAATATGAAGAAGTGCTACTGGACACAATTCACCACACGACACACAACATCAGCTGTCAGTGCGACTAAACAATGAATCTATTCTTGTGGCACAGAGAAAAATACTGAGAGAATCCTTTAATTGTTCCTGTGCAGGGAAACTGCTTTGAGTGACTCTTCTCTGACAACAAAGACTTGAGAAGGTGCCACCACGCTTACCCATGGGTGGTCCATACGGTGCTCTGGGAGGCATGCCCATCGGCGGGGGTGGGGGCATGCCGGGGGGTGGCGGCGCCCGTTGACTTGATCCTGGTGGAGCAGGAGGTGGAGGCACCATGCCAGGAGGAGCAGGAGGGGGCATGGGCATCTGAGGCATACCTGTGAGGCAGAAACATAGAGCTCACATTTCTGCTGGAAAACCAAACTGTTCCAGTGAATCTGTACGTTTATTCAAACAAGCTATTAATAATAGTCTCATACAGACGTGGCTGTTTGGTGAGTTCTGCCTTTTCATGGACTTAAGCTACAAATCTTGACATTTTTATGTAGACAGAATTTGTTTAGTGTTTTGAACTGTTGTAAATACAAACATATTACTAATCCTAATACAGTCGTGAATCCATAATCCGACCCTTAACAATCCAAAAGCCATGCTATCCGACAGATTTAAGGAAAAACCTCCTGAAAAACAGCCTTAACATACCGACAGCCTTGGATTCCGACTCTGACATGACATTTTATGTCACCAATCAGGATAACGGCGTATTATCTGACTGAACAATCCCACAGATTCGCTACGTTCACACTGCAAGACTTGATGCTCAATTTAGATTTTTTTGTGAAATCCGATTTTTTTGCAAGTTCGTTCACATTTCCAATTAAATGCGACTTGTATGTGATCTGCTGTGTGAACTTCATACGACCCAAAAGTGTCCCGCATGCGCAGAAGAGGAAACAACGATGACATCACACGGAGCGAGCGTGCTCAGTGTTTACGGAAGTAAACATGGATGGTGGTGCTGCCGCCGCCGCTGATGGTGGAAACAGAACTATGACCGCTATCCTAAACTAGCATCAGCAGCCAAGTACTGACTGTGTGTTCCGACCACTTCCACCCCGTCGGAGCGCTCCCCCGGGGTGGAATTGGTCCCCCGACCGCGCCAAATATTTGGATATTCATCATTAATTGGGTCTGAATATCCAGAGAGCAGAAAGTGCTATTGGGACCAGCACTACTAGTTATTATAACAACTATGAACAATAATTAACAACAAATAACCCTTCCAGCATCAAGCCCTCCTTGTATCTCGACCTCCGTCTTGACAATCCGACAGCCTTGCTATCCGACATAAAAGAAGGTTTTACATTTAGTGTCGGATCATCGAGTCACGACTGCATTCAGTTTCTGTTGCAATTTTTTTGCCTTTCATTTGAGAAAACTACCTGTAGGAACTTAAGAGCAAATGGTCACTGGACAGACTTGAACTGGAACACAGTGTGTTACAATTACACGATCACTGTCACAAACCTCTGGTCGCATCCTTGTCCAGATTTTCACCACTTTAAAATAATATGAAGACCCAAAGCTCTGATACACGTCAAAACTTTGCTGCGTACTCTCCAACTACAGCCGGTGTGTGAAGTCATTTGAAGCATTAACAAAGTCTTACCTGGATGCATGTTGGCAGGGGGGAAGGGTGGTGGTCCAGGTGGAGGTCCACCAGCACCACCCTGTGGGCCTGGTGTTCCTGCTGTTGGCGGCATGGGCATGTTGGGAGGCATATTAGGAGGCATCGATCCAGGAGGAGGAACTGGAGGGAAAGCTCCTGGAGGTGGCATGCCTGCATAGAAAGATGTTGTATTTGCAGTATTGGTTTCATCTTCCACCAGTGGAAAAAGTCAAACTGACTGATGATTTGGTTAAATATCCCACTTATTACAGCCAGCGTCATTACTGCGTAGCATTTCATTAAAGGGCCAATTTCTCAGGCGTCGAGTTTATTCCACACGCTGCCCATGATTAAATCAAACCAATCTCTTTATCACCCACTGATAAAAGACGCATCAGTCAGAGCGGCACAATTACATTTCCTACAGGATTCTACTTCATCTCAATATCGCTGATGAAAACTTATCTATCCTCGTGCCTCTTATAACTACTCAGCCCATAACATTACTCAGAGACATCTACTGTGTATGGATTATGACACTGAAGTACAAAAGAAATACAGCAACACCACTGGCGATGGCTCAAGGGAACAGAATCTAAAAGGAAAACTCCATCACCAGCGAAGGCCTTTGCACTCCGGCAGAAACAGCTTTACTGAAGAAACTGTCCTTTTTCAAATGCCAGTCATTTCTAGTTAAATTAATACTTTTTAGAGTGAAATAGCTGTCAGAGGGAAACGTGACACATAAAGACACAAGAGCTGTGTGTGTGCAGGAGTCATCGTATGAAGAACGTCTTCAGGGAGCAGAGCTCAAGTTTAAGAATAATGTAAGAAGGAATAAAATATACTCCAAGACTTGAAGCATAAAAACATCACTCTAGTCATACATTATTCTATTTCTTATCTTATATTGAGCGAATAAAATCCAAGTTGACATGATGCCAGTGAAGACACATTCAGTAAAATAGAAGCATGTCTGAAAGATGGAGAAGAAATGCTTCTGGATCAAACAGGTAAATACTAGACTACAGTATGTTCCCTGGAAGAAAATGACCTCAAGTCATCATCAATGAACTTATTATTAATGAGAACAGACTGTTTCTTATGGAAGCCCGTTTCCACCAGTGAAAATTTTAAAAAGTCATAATTACGAGATAAAAAGTCATAATTATGCGATAAAAAGGCAATTATGACATAAAAAGTCATAATTACGAGATAAAAACTCATTATTATGAGTGAAAAAGTCATAATTATGAGATAAAAAGCCATTACTACGAGATAAAAAGTCATTATTATGAGATAAATCAGTGCATATGCTGTGATTTTATCTCATAATTCTGACTTTTTTATGTTTTTTCACTAACGGAAACGGGCTTCCATAGTTTTTACTTCATTTAATCAACGGTAGCTGAAAATGCTCTAAAATACATCGCAATAGTGACTGAATAACCAATTCAAAGGCAGGCACTAAAAAGCATCCTGTACGTTTTAACATTTATCTTGTCTTCCAGTCATACCTGGCATCGGCATCCCACTTCCTAGCGCGGTCAGGACCGGTGTGGGAGCAGACGGCGGTGGAGGAGCGTCTGCAAACAGCTGGTGAGGCCTGTCTGCCTGGGACAGGGGGTTTTGTGCAGCCAGGAGTCGCTCTGCAGCCGAGCCATGGCGCTCTCCTTTGGAATCTTTCTTGAAGGCATATGACACCGTGATGGGCCTGTTGCACAGATACTGGCCATTCATAGCCTCGATGGCGGCATCCGATGCGTCGAAGCTGGCGAAGTTGATGAAAGCGTAACCCTTGGAGTTGCCGGTGTCTGGGTCTCGCATGATCTTCGGCGTCTGGAGGATCACCCCGAAGGCACTGAATGTGTCGTAGAGCAGTTTCTCATCGATTTCTGGGTCCAGGTTACCGATGAAGATGTTAGCGCCAACGTCCAGGTTTTTGTTGTGTGCTGAGGCCTTGTTAACCCTTATTGGCTTGCCGTAGAGCTTTATCATATTCATAATTTTGATGGCATAGTCGGCATCCTCTTCACTAAGGAATTCCACAAAGCCGTAGCCTGAGGAAGGAGAAAAACAGTTGGTCATGTTAGTTATTTATAGATATACTTTAGAAATATATATTAGGGCTGGTCTGAATAGCAGTTTCTGGTCTCAAGCTATTCGGCCCAATTAAAGACGGGGAACCTGAGTATTCGGACCAACAGGGCAGGAGTGGGCAGGCGCTTCCACCATCTGCGGCCACAGTACTGTATCCGCCATCAGTGGTACTGGTGGTGGTGGCGGCGAATATTCGGAGATCAAAATTGCTATCTGGATACCAGCACAACTACCAAACATTCGGCTATTCGATATATTCGGCTAAAGATATTCTTTGATGCTCACCTTGATGCTGGCCGGTGACCCTGTCTTTGGGCATGTGTGTGTTCACCACAGGACCAGCCTGCAGGAAAAGCTCCCATAGCAACGGCTCAGAGACTTTCTCATCCAAGCCACCGACATACACGGTGGCATCTGAGGAAAGAATGAAGAACAAACTTTACATGTAAAACATCCAACAGACACATGTGATCGAATTTGAAATGAAATCAAAATGCAAAGCAATGGAGATGCTAATTTGCAATTCATTGCATAAAAACACCCAATATCTACATATATGCTTGTGTTTTACTGCTTTAATAAGTTTACATTTTATACTTTGAAATCTTTTTGAGTTCTGGTAATGTTTTACAAGATTTGTTCATTTTTATTTTTAATTCAATTCAATTCAATTGTATTTGTATTTGTATAGCACAGTTTACAACACGTCATCACACAGTGCTTAACAAAGTAAGGTATAGACTCTACAAATTTAATAGAGAACCCAACAGGGAATGAATTTAAATGAAGGAAATTCCAGGTCATCCAGACCTTTATGTCCTTCAGACATGCCTGGAGTCTGTCCAACTGACTGATTTCATTTGGCTTCATAGATACATATAACTGGATGTCGTCTGCATAACAGTGGAAATTTATGCAGTGCTTCCTAATAATATTGCCTAAAGGGAGCATGTACAAAGGAAAATAATATAGGTCCTAATACAGAGCCCTATGGAACTCCATAGCTAACTCTACTGTGGGTGGAAGAATCAGCATTAACATAAACAAACTGGAATCTGTCTGATAAATATGATTTAAACCAATTTAGTGCAGTTCCTTTAAGCACAATTAAATATTCCAGTCTCTGTAATTTTATGAGTAAATGATGCTGCTCCCTTTAAAGCAAGTCTGTTTATTTAGATGGAACTCTTGTACACATACACACACACTAAATTTAAAAAAAATCAAGTGACAATGTTAATACTCCTTTTTTTCTCTTTGAGACAACGTTTAAAAGTTAGTTATATTTTGATATACAAACCAAACTACGCACTACTTTTGAACTTACATGATTAAGTAGCTAACCTATCTGCTAAGACGTTTAATCTCAAAAAATATATTATGTAGTAACCACGTCCATACAGATTTCCAGATTATAAAGGCACCACACTAAATATGAGCTCTATTAGAAACACAGCAGCGAGATAACTTCACATCCCCGCCGAACTCTGCTACAAGCTACGGTGTAGCATGCTAGGCTAACTTTAGCCGTTAGCCAGCAGGATGGAGCTCTGTTTCTGAATTGCTAACAAAAACCACCACACTTCAAATCAACAAAAACAACCGCTACACTTCTGTTTCCTGTGTAGCATACAAGTAAAAGGAATAAAAGCTGGTAAAACTCTTTGAAACGGCTAGAGCAGTGACAAGTTAAGCTAACAACAACTGAGCACTTCCATGTGACCGGCCGGTTGTTTAGCAGAAAATACCGCCACAGTAGGATTTCAGCGGCGCTCAGCGAGAAAAGGTGAACAAGTCAAAGTGTAAACTACAAGATGATTCATAAAAACGTAAAACAACACAATGAAATACACGCTTAAATGAAGGATTTACCTTGGTTTCTCTCGGAAATTGGTCCCGCTGCCATGTTGAATGACCAACGCAGGGGAAGCGTTGTGACCGGAGGCCCCGCCTGTTCCGGCGCCGCGTGCCAAAATAAAATAAAATAAAATAAAATAAAATAAAATAAAATAAAATAAAATAAAATAAAATAAAATAAAATAAAATAAAACTTAATTAAATACTGTCCGAGCTCCTCTGCAGGCAAAGGATGTCAGACAGGTAAACCCAGTGTCCAATTTTAATCTCTTTACAAACTGCTGTAAAAAGTTTTTATTTTTTATTATTTATTATTTTTTAAAATATTATTTACATCTTGTGTTTTAGCTCTTATTTACTGAAATGCTAATATGTCTATATTCGAAAATTATTTTGACATAAAAGGAATCACGACGAGAATATAAGTCTGGTATTTTGGCGTTAAAAACGCAGGTAAAAAATTAGACATGTCATCTGCTTGATCAGCTGCCTGTCTGACATGATGCTGTGATTCTTGAAAGTTTACCCAAAGAACACTTTCTGTAATTGTCTCGAGTAAATTAAAAAAAAAAAAAACATAACATATCCAGTGTACCAATGCATAGACATTAAGATGATCCAATTTTTGCTGTTAAAACTATAATACAAGATATTAATGCTAAAAGCTGGTAATAGAAAAACCGTGCTGATATAGAATGACTTAAGTTGATTATTATTATTATTAGAAGTACAACAGCAGCCTGTGAGAGTCAGGCCTAAAAAATACCACTGTGATAAAAAACCCTGTGTCCTTCAAAGTAAAAGTTTCCTTGAAAGAAAATCTTTGGTGCCTTATTTGCATCTTCATATGACTACAGACAATTAGTGAGTCGAGGATCTCCACGCGCTCTGAAAACCTGAGCTCTTAGGGCTAAAATGTTTCTTCTTTTACATAAAAGACCCCTAAGAGTGGTGGAATAAAAAGGTTTTTCCCTTTTGCTATTGGACATAATTTACCATACAAACTAAATAAAGTGACAACATGCTAAATTCCAATTACTTATCATATAATAATTTGGCCTTATAATAATTTTATTTTCTTTGAGTAACTTGTAATAGCTTTGACAGGTTTGAAGAGGAATGATTATACTTCTGGATTGCGTTGTAATTTAGATTTAAAGACAAAATAAAGTATATTAGATGTTCAAACCTTGAATCTACCAGAAGCAATGCTACAATCCTTTAATGGAAAAGGCAAATTCTAGCTATTCTAAGGCCTGTTTACATGAAAGATCATTTTTAGTTTAAAGAATTTGGAAAATATTTATTAGATGACTTATCAAGTACACCCACTGTGCAATCTGAATGCAAATATGTCATCGCCACCAAAAAGTGTCAAAAAGTAAAGTCAATTAGTTGATTATATTAGTAAACATCATTATAATTATGTGTGCTTTGTCCTTGATGTTCAGTTAAGTCGTACTAAACAATGAAAACATAACAAAGAATAAACATTTGTATCAGCCAATTTATTACATTTACATATAAATCTACTAAAAGTATAAACATGGAATACAAAATGTTCATAGAAAATACGTACAATTAGGGCCTTGAGAAACACTTTTATAAAACAATACTGTATCGAATATGAAACATATAAAAAGAGAACTCAATCAATACAACATGCATCGAAGCCAAAACATGAAAAGCCAAAGTCGTTTTCTTTATAAAATGAATCGCAAAAAAGTTAAAAAATAAAAAGACTTCATTGATAATGATCACAAAGAAAAGTCAAAGGCAATTGCAAGAAGAAAGCTCTCAGATTAATGGCTTGTGGTCAAAAAAAAAAATCACACATACTGAGCAACTACATGAAAAGAAAAACACACAACTGAAGCTCTCCGACCTCGTTCCTGTAACCGGTGATTACTTTTAGGTTTTTCATGGGTTCATTGGACGATGACAACATCACAGCAGGTGAGATTCTGGGAGGCTGTTCAGCTCAAAATATAATAAACAGAAGTCAAAATGAACTAGGATGGATTCAAGGTGCAGATTTGTGAGGTCAAAGTGTTGAATTTTTTTTAGCATTTACTGAAGAGAGCTGCAGGATTTTTTTTTTTAATCAAATAGACAAAATGACTGAACATTTCAATACTGAACACAAAGCCTATTTCACAAGCTGAGTACCAAACCAACAGTATATAATGTTTATTAACTCATAGCAAAGGCAGTCACTTCTAATCAATCTTTAAATCAAATGGCATTTAAGATATTAAAGGAATACTTTGACATTGTGACATGAGCGAGAAAACTGACATCAAGCTCGTGTTGGTACTATTGAGCGATTAAACGGCCGATTAGTTGCCAGGCAACCAATGCAGACTCCCAGAAGAACAAAATAACTCCTCGAAAAGTATAAAACTTGTAAGTTGTTATTTTTTTGCACTTCTGTTTTTGTATGCATCACACAAATGAAATGTAACGTGAGCTTTACAGGTGCTGTTTGGCAGATTTAGTGGCCTTTAAGCAGAGCCAGGCTTTATGCTAAGCTAAGCTAACCGGCTGCTGACGATGGCTTCATATTTACCAGACAGCTGTAATGTGGTGTCAATCTCGTCATCTAATTCTCCAAACCCATTTTCCAAAATGGTTCCTTTGAGAACCTGTAACAGTAATACAGTATGCGATCTTTAATTTTACTTTTTGAAAACATTTCATGCTACCAATTTCATAAAGGCACAATGATCCCAGAGAAGAGACACAGCAACTAACAGAACAATACAACTGGTCTGGCTTCAATCATTCTTCATCTCTTTCTTTTTTTTAATTTTTATTTTATTTGCCATCTCCTCTTTTTGCGTAATCGGTTTCTGCTGTGGACAATCCAGCGTTCAGCTCTCCTGCTGTTTAACTTTTATACTTTCAGGCCACATTTCCTTCCAACCGGAGCCACATTATCAATTAAACTCTCGCCTCCTTTGAGAGAGGTCTCTCAAACGCTACCTGTTAAAACGCCTTCACCTTCATAATGTATTAAAATACATTTCGGATACACGTAGCAATATAAAGTTTTACATTTACAGTATGAAAAAAAAAAAGTAATAAGTGCGAGTTATGTTTTTAGCCTATGGACAAACCAGCACCGGTGAAGAAAAACAAAAAATTCTGCTTTCAGTATCTTCAAAAAAAACAAAACAGAAACCACAGGAGCTGGTACTGTTTTGTATTGACTACAATGACTCAAACATCATGAATCATTTTCTGGCCTTCATCTGAACTCGGATCAATGTTGAGACCTCCAACAGCGTTTTAGTCCAAACAGACACCAACTTTTTTTATAGCTCACATGACAAACACGATCTGTAACACGAGAATACTTCCATAGTTGTAACAGCGTTGGTTTGAGCGTCTTTTAGTTGATAGCACACTGAAAATATACATTCGGCTAGTGTCGTGGTTTAGTGTAATAGTCAAACGCCGTCACAAACAAAAGTAAAAAAACAAAGTGATGGTTTCAAAAACCTGAGCTGACATCTGCAGACGTTTTAATTTTGTTTTTGCAAAGTACCCACTTATTATTACATGACCTAAAAAAAAAAAAAAGAGGTTTTAATGCTTCCTGGAATTCTGGTATTATTTCAGGGGTGAAGTTTCCATATATTTACAGTCTCATTCAGATACAGAAAACATCATTTAACCTGTTCATTTCAGATTTTGTGGTAATATTCTAGAAATGTTTGGCGTATGAATAGACGCGGGGTACTTGCTGTCAGAGTTTTACAATCCAGATCATTTGGCATCTTAACATCCAAAATACTTTACGCAAGAAAACACATCCAAAGCCTTTAAAAGAAACACGCAGGTCTGACTGGAGAAATGGTTCATATAACTGTTTGGTTTGATGGGTCATAGCAACTTATGTCCCGTACATTCACTGACCAGAAGAAGGCTTTCTGTAGGTCTACTTTGAGTAAGTAACACCCTAGGTATGTAGTATGCCGAGCACTTTTACAGGCATTTCTTTTTATTAAAAAAAAGAAGAAAAAAAAGCACTGTTATCCTGTAATCACTAGGCACAAAGAGGTAACGGCTATAGGTGGTTATCTAACGGACGGATATGTATGCTGTAAGTCAAGGCCTGATTACCTGGTCCTCGTAACAAAAAACCCTAAAAAAGTTCAGACAGGTCACCTATGAAGCGATCAATACTGTTACCAGGAAATCCTACGGAGCGTGAAGGCATGTGTCCGGTCGGTTTAGTGCGAGGGCAGAGTGGCAGTGTTGGCGGCGCTGAGCTGACCCACGGCTAGCATCAGGATGTCTTTCTTCTCTTTGTAAAAACGCAGTTCTCTGCCCGCCAGCCTGGCGTCCTCCAGTTCTCGCTCCGTGGAGGCCAGCTCCTGCGCGATAGTGCTGGCCACGCTCTGCTCCCGGTTCACCCAGTCGGCGGCCATCTGAGTGCGCATGTCGTCGTCCAGGGCCCGATGGGAATAGTGAGCCAGCACCTCCTGCAATCCAGGCACATCAAAGAGGGTGAGCATGTAAAACCCAACTGCTTGGTTACATATTGTTTCTGTTATCTGCAACCCAGTAGGACTTCTGCCAATCCTCAGCCACAACTCTAGAGGGCCATAAAAGTGGCATCATCCTGATCGATGATGGTTGATGTGCCAACTCTCCAGCCAAGACCATAAACTGTCAAGCACATAAATATTCCATCTGAAAACATGTTGTAACTTAAAGCTTACTCCTGGAATAAAGAGCAAAATAAACTGAAATGTAACTTTTTTTCTATCCATC